AGCATGAAAGCTGACTGGGTAACTTTGGGCCAATCACCAGGAGGCTGGGAGTTCTAGTGCCGCCTCAATCATGAAAGGCACCTGGGCGACTTTGGGCCAGTCATTCTCTCTCAGCTCAACCCACCTCACAGGGTTGCTGTTGTAGGGAAAGGAGGAGGAAGGGGTGTTGGATGTGTTCACCGCCTTGAGTGATTTGTAAGAATAAATAAAGGAGGGATACAAAGAAATAAATAAAAATAAAACCGAGCTGTTCTTATGAACGTTGGATCCTGGACGCATTTTTGCGGGTGTGGGGGTGAAAACTTAAGACAAAGCATCTCTTGTCAGTCTTTGGGAGGTTCCCCGCCCCCCCCCGGCTGCCACTTTCCACCCCACCTTCCCAGCGGTCAACGTCAAAATTCCTCTGCCACCCCCCCCCACCCCCCCGATTTGTGAATGGATCTTTTTGTTCTTCAGGGTTTCGCTTCCATTTCATCTTTCAGAGGATTTCGAAGAGCCGGAGTCGGGTTGGGGAATAAAGTTTCAGAAGGCCATTTTTTTTTTCCCCCCCAAAAAATGAATTGAATTCCCCCCCTTTTTTTTGCTGAAATCTACTTCAAAGGAACTGCTCTTGCCTCAAACGCCTCGGGCTTTTTGCAAAACTCTCCGATTTATTGTTTTTCCTCCCCGCAAAGCCAACTTTTGCAAGCTTTAAGTCTTCCCCCACCTTGTCATTATTATTATTATTATTATTATTATTATTATTATTATTATTATTATTATTTTTGGGCAAAAGTTGGGTTTAAAGGAAAAAGAAGAAGGAATTTCTTCCCCAGGGAGCCTCCCAAATATCTTCCTTCCCAATCTGGAATCTTGATTGAAAAGTTTTGGATGTAGCAGAAGGGAAGGCGAGGAGAAAAGGGGCTTTCGGATTGGCTGGCTCCGGGGAGCCCCACCCACCCGTTGGCACCTGGCCGATGGGGGCATGTGGGCCAGCATACGGGGGGGGGGGGATGCGGGCTGCTGGGCGCCCGGCCTTCCTCCCGGCTCCTCCGCTCCTGCCTGCGTCCCCATGTGCCTTATATATATATATATATAAATATACTGTCTATATATTGTCCTGTTTGCTTCCCTAGCTGGAGCTGATCGGCCACAGCGTGTTTGATTTCATCCACCCGTGTGATCAGGAGGAGCTGCAGGATGTGCTGAGCCCCAGGCAGGGTGAGTCTCCCGTCGCCATCCTCTTCAGAGTTTTTATGATGTTTACGGGGGATCGCTGCATGGTCCCCTTTCCTTCAGCGCTGGGCTTCCCTGATCAAAAGGAACCGGAATTCTGCAACTGGTGCAATTCGAATTGTAGGCTGTTTTTTTTCGTCCTCCATTTCTTTCTTCTCCTCCTTTTGCTTTCTCCATTTCTTCCTTTTCCTTATTCTTTTTCCTTCTCCTCTTCCTCCTTCTCCTGCCCCTCCTCATCCATTTCTTTCTCATTTTTCTGTCCTTCCTTCTTTCCTTCCCTCCATTCTTCCCTCCCTCCCTCTTTGAATTATATCTGTGTCATTTTCTGTGCCGTGTTTTCAAAGTGAAACCAGGGAAAGCCTTCGATGATCTCCAGCCGCCCATTTGGCTTACCCTCTTCTGAATCCCCAAAGCCAAACGTCCCCCTTCCCTCCTTCCATGACCCCCTGCCCCCACCTCCCTCCAACCCCCCAATATGTCCTGATCTGCGTGTGATCCCGGCTCCCCCCAGGTTTCTCCAAGAAGGCGGAAGTGAAGACGGAGCGGAATTTCTCCTTGCGCATGAAGAGCACGCTGACCACCAGGGGGCGCACCGTCAACCTCAAGTCTGCCACCTGGAAAGTGAGCCACGCCCTGGAGTTTGGGGGCGGGGGGGGGCGGGGGAGAGAGAAACAGAAGCAGGTTTGGGCAGGGGGTAGTTGAGTCCCCACCCCGCATCCCCCAGAAGCAGCATTCTGAAGGAGGAGAGGAGAGAAGGGGCGCAAAACTCACTTAACTGCCTCGCTTAGCCACGGATATTTGGGGGCTCAGTTGCTTGCAGTCGTAAGTCAAGAACTCCCTGTAAATGCCAAATAAATGCATTTATTTATTTATTCATTCTGTAGAGATTCTCAGTCTGTAGAGTGAGTTTATTTATTATTTATTAAATTAAATATACATGCATGCATGCATACATATGCATACCTATACATGTAACTTATTATGTCATCATCCTCTTTTAACAACCCCATAATCCTTTACGGGGTGCAGTCCTGGGCAACTGAATGAAGCTTGAGTATTTACTGGCCGGATGCTCTCCCTGTTGCCAATGCAGAGTTTTTGTTTTGTTTTTCTCAGCAGATATATTCCTAGTCTGCCCAAAGTGAGAAATACCTGCCTCTAACCTAGAATCGAACTCACAGCCTCCTGATTGTGAGGCGAGAGCTCCACCTCTAGGCCACCACGCCCCTCTTACAACTTCTTGTATATAGGATTATTTATTTATTTGTTTGTTCAATTCATTTCGCACCCCTCTTGTAACGAAACCGCTCCGGGTGTCTTTTGGGGGGAGGTTGAATCCCTCTGGGCACCCTCCAAAGGCGCCAGCTGGTTGCCCCCAGCTTCCTCCCTCTGCCCTTCCAGGTGCTGCACTGCTCTGGGCACATGCGCTGCTATGCGCCTTCCAAGCCGGCCTCAGGGAAGGAAGGGGAAGGCGGCTTCGCAGAGCCCCCGTTGCGATGCCTGGTGCTGATCTGCGAGGCCATCCCGCACCCCGCCAACATCGAGACCCCCCTGGACAGTGGCACCTTCCTCAGCCGCCACACCATGGACATGAAGTTCACCTACTGCGATGACAGGTGAGCGGGAGACTCCCGGGAGACACCATACACGGACCCCTCTCTTCGCCCGCCCTCCGGGCAGCTGGGGAGGTGGCGACTGAGGGCGACACATCATCCAGCAGCCATGGAGTTCTCTCTGGGATGATGGGTTTGTCGATCTCGGCTGGGACGTTGTGCCGAGTGGTTGCAACTGTGGTGTGTAGGAGGAACGTGGCTGATGAGCAAACAGGGTCAAATCCACAGGTAAAAATCTCTCTTTCTCTTTCTTATCTATCTCTATATCCATGTTTCTCTCTCTCTATCTCTCTCTCTATATCCGTATTTATCTCTTTCTCTCTCCTTATCAGTATCATCCATCTATCTGTCTGTCTGTCTGTCTGTCTGTCTATCTATCTCCATATTTCTCTATTTATTGATGTATATACATCTCTCACTTTCTCTCTTTGTCT